CCCTGGAAATTGCGGACAAAGTCTTGTGGTCATCTTTGTTACATACAGCTTTGTAGGGTACAGCTTGATCTACATCTACAGACGTCCCATTGTGGTTGGGTGCGTGGGTAAGCGAGCCTCCCTTGCAGGGATGCGACTGGTGGGTGACAGATCATAAGCAGACCTCCAAAGCGGCTGTGCGATGGTTCGTTGTGACAGATCACAGCCGTTTGACGCATGGCTGTGTCACCGTGCAGGCAAGGTTTGGGAGAAAGAAAGCAAGCGGTGAGAAATGAACTCGTGAGACGCGCGGCTTCTCAACCGAGCAGAGAGTCTGAGCTTCTAATGGGCCCCCCTGCGTCTCTGATGAGAAACGTGCGTGCGCACACACACACACATACGACCATGTGCGGACACATAGACATGCATGCACACACAAAGACAAAGATCCCCCCCCATAGCAGACTGTTGGAGCAAGTGATGGGTGGCCAGCAGCACGCCCGGGCATACACAGACAAGTGACGCACTGTGGTCGAGATATGCCGGCATATGACGATGCACCATGCTGACACTCATTAAAAAAACACCAAATATGTGTAACCTTGACTTTTCATAATGCTTCCTATTCCTATACTATGATGATTCCGCAGAGGGGAAACGGCAGTGTGTGAGAGAGGCTGTGTGTGTTGGCCATCAGCCGACACACCGCAGTGGGAAGCGGTCGTGCCCGACGATCCGCGTTCGATTCCCGATCATGGCCAACACCTGTGACGGTTATCTGTACCGGTCCTGGGCCTCCCCTAGGTCGACTCAGCCTCAATTGAGTACCGAGTGCGATGTGTAAAAACATCGGCACCCTCTCTTACCTATATAACCTCTTACCACGGCATCTCTCTCCCACTTCAGCAAAAAAAATCATGCCTTGCTGTGGTTTTCCCACCTGATGATGATTGCTTGTGTTGCAATCGAAACGTCGTGATTTCTTTTATTTATTTTATTCCACACCTACGTGGCTTTACCGAATGAACCAGAGCGTATAGGCGTCTTTGTTTTTGAGTGAACATTGGCTGCATACTGGTACCTCGACCGCTGGCTTGTACAAAGACATACAACACGCATGTACACGCAGACATACATGCACAATTATGCTCACGCAAGCAGACTGACCTAAAATTTTGATTTAAAGCTTTCGTGACTGCAGTAATTCATATTCTTAGCTCTTTCGGTAAAGTCACGTTGAAGGGAAACAATAAAGTAATAAAAAATATATAAAACAATAAAAATTCTCACGACGTTTCGACCATAACACAAACGGTCGTCATCACTATGATCAGTATGATGACGACCGTTTGTGTTATGGTCGAAACGTCGTGAGAATTTGTATTGTTTTATATTTATTTTATTATTTTATTGTTTCCCTTCAACGTGACTTTACCGAAAGAGCTAAGAATACAGACTGACCTACACAAGCATGCACAAAGATCCTCCGTACATACAGGCTAACGAATGCATGCACACACGGGCGTACACATATACTAACGTATGCAAGCATACACAAATAGGCATACACATACAGCAGCATGCAAAACAAAGAGGCACAGGTACACTTACATAGGATTTATAAATACTTGAACGTAGCTCGCACAAAGGGACGCAGACAAAGATCCCCCATATAGACTTAACATACTGTTGGGGCAAGTGCTGTTAGCAAGCACCTATGAAGGCACAGACACACACGCGCGCAGTCACACAATAGAATAGGCACACGTGTCCCTTGCATGCCAACAAAAGACAAATATCCCGATATAACCTCACAAACCCTGGCAAGCAGCTGTGTGTAGCATGCACTGATGTAAACAGAAATGCGAGCACGAGTCTTTGACAAGACATTTTGCAAAATAATCATGCGCTGCGCACTCGTCCTTGTAAAGCAATTGAATTTAAATGAGCCTAATGCATTTTGACTCGCAGCGTGATGCACACACAAGCCCTGGTTACGACGCCAGGTAGGTAACAGAGGTGCAAAGCACAGAAGAGCAGCAATCGTTAAGCCACGTACTGGATTCACTCGTGGCAGAGTGTTGGTAAACGGATCACCGTTTTTTTAGTAATGAATGAAGCGATTGGCACGCGCAAACACACGAACGGCACGGCGCCTTAAGTCGCCTCGTTATTGATTTGGCTTCGTTTCTCAATTTAAAATATGAAAATTGTTTATTTCTGGACATCCCTAAATGTGCGACCATCAGGAACCCGTATTTTTTTCGTATGTATGGTTATCGATATTGCGACAACAAATACAGAATTGAAACCCCTATACATGTAATTAACAATGTGAATTACGAAATATGAATTATGTAATAAGTTGGAGATAGGGTTGTTTTGTTTTTATAAACAGATTCACGTAAAGACATTTACATTAACGGGCTAAATGTCTCACTAACAAAGCCAATGTTGCCCCCTTTCCCTCGATGTGGCGGTGGCTCTCGTGTTTAGCAGACTACAACTGGCTGTGATGTTGTGTGTCTGTCTCTTTGTGCGTGTGTCTCTCTCTGTGTGTCTCCCTGTATCTCTCCCTCTTTGTGTCTCTTTGTGTGTCTCTCTCTCTCTGTTACTTTGTGTGTGTCTCTCTCTGTGTATGGGTGTGTCTTTCTGTGTGTCTCTCTGTGTGTGTCTCCCTGTGTTTCCCTAGGTGTCTCTCTTTGTGTCTCTGTATGTCTCTCTGTGTCTCTCTGTGTGTGTCTCTCTCTCTGTTTGTCACTTTGTGTGCGTGTCTCTCTCTGTGTATGGGTGTATCTTTCTGTGTGCCTCTCTGTGTGTGTCTCCCTGTGTTTCCCTAGGTGTGTCTCTCTTTGTGTCTCTGTTTGTGTCTCTCTCTCTCTGTGTCTCTTTGTGTGTGTCTGTCACTTTGTGTGCGTGTCTCTCTCTCTGTGTATGGGTGTGTCTTTCTGTGTCTCTATGTGTGTCTCCCTGTGTTTCCCTAGGTGTGTCTCTCTATGTGTCTCTGTTTGTGTCTCTCTATCTGTGTCTCTCTGTGTCTCTTTATGTGTCTCTCTCTGTCACTTTGTGTGCGTGTCTCTCTCTGTGTATGGGTGTGTCTTTCTGTGTCTCTCTGTGTGTCTCCCTGTGTTTCCCTAGCTGTGTCTCTCTATGTGTCTCTGTTTGTGTCTCTCTATCTGTGTCTCTCTCTCTCTGTGTCTCTTTGTGTGTCTGTTTGTCACTTTGTGTGCGTGTCTCTCTCTCTGTGTATGGGTGTGTCTCTGTGTGTGTCTCTCTCTGTGTGTGTGCCTCTCGGTGTGTCTTTCTCTTACCATCAGCCCCACCAAAACTAAGCACCTACCTGGGTATTTTGTACCATCGGACACTCCACCCCCACAACTCCCAATCGGTGATGGGGCAGTTGTGGAGACAGTGGAGAGTTTCCCATACCTGGGCAGTGTGCTTATGACCGGCTCCAGTTTAACAGCGGAGGTCTCACTCCGAATCAGTCTAGCGGCAATATCTTTTCATCGGTTGCGTAACGCTGTGTGGAAGCTACCTGGTCTGTCGCTCCGCACTAAGCTTCAAGTCTTCTCGGCCATGGTCATTCCCTCCCTTCTCTACGCTTGCGAAACGTGGACCCCCCTAATGGAACATCTTCGCCGGTTAGAAACATATATGCTAGCCTGCCTACGATCCATCCTGGGTTTAACCAGGCTGGATTGTGTGAGGAGCTCACAAATCCTTGAAAGATCTGGGCAAGGTCCCATCGGTGAGCTCCTCCGGCGGGCAAGGCTGTGTTGGCTAGGTCATGTAGCCCGCATGCCCAGCCACCGCATGACTATACAGATTTTGTTCGGCCGGATCGAGGGGGCTAAACGGGCACGGCACGGGCTAGAGAAGAGATGGAGTGATGTGGTACAGGAGGACGTGGAGCTGAGTGGACTTGCCGATGACTGGTACCAGCGGTGTTAAGATCGGCCTCTGTGGAGGAGGCTCGTGAAGGATGCTACTGGGCAGTTGGAGGCAGTCGCCCTCCAACAACAACGGAGGGCGGAGGAGCGACGCTCACAACGAGCGGAGCGCCAGGTGGCTAAAGCACAGCAGGTTGGCACAGGAGGGGGCACAGGTAGTGCATCAGCCAGTCATCTCAGTCAGTCGACCCGTGGCACCTGGGTCTGCCCCGTCACCTCCTGCCAGCTGGCGTTCGACACTTCACGTGGCCTCAAGGTGCACATGGCCTGGCACAAGCGTTGTGGTGACGTCACCGCCACTTAGTGGCGAATGGCGGTTGTTGTTGTTGTCTCTCTCTCTCCTTCCCTCGATGTGATGTTGTCCGTCGTATGTTTCCCTCGTGTTCTAACGAGCTGGATGTCGCACTAGCACAGCCACCGTTGTGTTGGTTCGTTTACATTGACATGCTAATCTCGCACAATAAAATGGCCGCCTCCTCAGCTCGTCGTCGTGGAGGTCATCCTACCCCCCCCCCCCATCTTGGTTCCCATCTTTGGATTTCCCACTCGCTTAGGCAGAATCTTTAGCCCCGCCCTCTTGCCCGATGTGGCAACTCCCCCCTCACGGCTCTATATATAAGGACTTGTTTCAGCAGCCTGTCTCTCTCTCTCTCACCTGAAGACGATTGCTTGTGTGGCGATCGAAACGTCGTGATCTATGATTTTTTCTACCTACGTGACTTTACCAAAAGAACTAAAGAGTATAATAAATAACTAGCAGACTTTGTTACATTTTTCAAATGTTATTTATAGCTAATATGGCAACCCCCTCCACCTGCACAGATGTGAACATTGGTGTTGGTGAGCGTTGTAGTGAGATTCATAGCGAATCATTTGGGAGTTTTGTATTTTTACTCCTAATAATGACTCATTTTTATAAAGTCATGAATAGAGTCTTCAGACAGATAATAAAAACAAATTTCTGGAAATAGCAATACGTGACCTATGAGCTCCGTTATATGTAGAGACGTAAATAGCGTCTCTGTGGCATATAAGCCAACCACAACGGGTGAGTGAATGCGCACTTACCTCTCGATGGGGGCCGACGGGGATGCATCGGAGAAGTGGGCCCAAGAAGCGGGGTCCCGTCGGAGAGAGAGGACGTGCTGGCACAGAGTGGTAAAGGGGGTCCGGAAACGGTGGCCCGGGGGGGCCATGTCACGCTGGCTCCGGTTCCGTCGCGAGAGACTGAGAAAGGGTCGTGGTGAGAGGCGGAGCGAGGCCACGCTCGAGGAGGATATGAGGGACGGAGGCGGAGCGATCGGGGTGGTCTAGCGGGAGAGCTGTCCGTATGTGGTCACGTCGGGGGGTGAGCCGGAGAACGTCAGTCATAGGGACTCAGTGGGGCAGGGACCCCCTCTCCCTTTTTGGGGTCTAGAATAGCCCTGAGTATGGTTAACTTGTAAGCCTGTTAAAGTGTTAATAAATCGTGGTGCCTCCAGACTTCAGTGTGTGCCTCGTCAGACACACTACATATATATAAAAGCCGACTTAAGATGGCCGGGTGGCTCAGTGGTCTGGGCACTGAGCTTCTGGGTTTCAATCCGGACAGCCCTGAGTATGGTTAACTTGTAAGCCTGTTAAAGTGTTCTTAATAAATCGTGGTGCCTCCAGACTTTAGTGTGTGCCTCGTCAGACACACTACATATATATAAAAGCCGACTTAAGATGGCCGGGTGGCTCAGTGGTCTGGGCACTGAGCTCCTGGGTTTCAATCCGGACAGCCACCTGTGATTAACACTGGGTTCTCGAGGGTAGTGCATTGATGTACTTAGAGCGGTCGCCAGTGTCTTCACAAAAAGTTCTTACTTTTGGATATGCAATTTACTTTGACTAAATGCCATCTCTGAGAATTAAAATATTAGTGTGACTGTCGTGAGACGAACATTTCACTCTGTAAGCAGGACAAGTGAGAAAATTTTGCCCCCAAGTATAACACAAGAGGTCACTCGAAGGGATGCCAGATGCGGTTCTGTGATATCTGCTATTACGCAATTCTCTACCACATCGTGCTGCGCTGCTCTGCGAGAGTTTTAATGGGTCCTCCGTCTTGTAGCGTGACACCGATATGACAATGGAGATAGCATTGTGGGGGGGAAAAAGTGTTTAAGAAAATTATTAAGATTTACTAACCCCAAGTAAGTTTAAATAAATAACGATATTAGTTTGTGCGCACGTTGCAGTTTTAAGAATACGGAGAACCCACGGAAGGTCTATTGGCCCCAGCTGACCCCCAGCCGTCTGTGATGCGGGTCGCGTGTGGAGCACCGTGGTGGAGGAGATGGTGGTGGAGCCATGCATTAAATATTGAAATCTTGGAATGAGGCTTTCACAGGAGTGCGCCATGACCTCTGTGATCCCCCAACACCTGCTGTGCTGCTACATGGGGCTTAATTTCTCACGAGGCTACTACTCGTGACAAGTGGCCACAGCCACAGTGAGAGGTATACTAGATGTGCTGTGCTGGATGCAGAAATATCTTCTGGGGTTGCTGGAGTCGGGCAGACCTAAATTAAGCCCCACTCATGGTCCATTAATTACATCGACACAAGACCTAGTCGATGGATGACATTAACGGGGATGAACTCATCAAACTGTGTTAGTATGATAACTTCATTGTCTCAAATTGCACGTAACATTGTTGCAAATGTATTCCTTTAAAGTGTGTAATAATGGAAGTACTGTAATAACTTTCAGCACTGTCAATCCGCTGCTGGATTAAGGCATCCCAAAACCATTGCTCATGGTCTCACGATGGAACAATCCACTTCACTCTTGCACGCGAGCTGATTTCATCACTCCGTCTCTGTGGTCATGTACGATTCACATTCTACACAACCTCACACATGTTACAAAGTGAAGTGCTCAATAAATAATTATACAGGCAGATAAGGCAAAGACACTTATATTTGTGCATTAATTGGCATACAGTATACTTAGAAACAAAACAAACAAAATCTACGTATGCATTTTAAATGAAATCGAATTTGCATGCCATAAGTTATGCAATGCGGAATTACATTACCCACTATCAGTGCATACAGATTCCGTAAACTGTGGCAATTGCCACGATTAAAGGATGCATTCATGATGAATCATTGCCCATGGTCGTCAGAGTCATATAAAATCAACTACCATTGCATAAACAAAAATACACAATTATAAGGATATAATCAAAAGAAACACAAGAATCATATCAGGTAACATAGGCCCCGCTGACAGCAGGTAGACCAACTTTGGATTTGCCAAATGGCAGGTGCGAATTTTTTTGTTTCGACTTAACCCCGAAATATTTTTAGGACAAAGCCCCATACTGGAGTTAGTATTTCTTTACATAAATGCATGTTTGGACATGCATTTATGTAATCCCTATGCCGTGCTCACGGTAGGCCAACTTTAAATTCGTGTTGAGTTTCACATTTGCCCACGGTAGAGAGCAGGTGTTGAGGTGAAAGATGAGGCACATGGAGGACTGGATCACGCAAGTTCTAAGGGAAGAAAAGAGGCTTCATCCCGGGTTCCACTTTCTTTCCCATCTTCACACCATCCAGCTCATATGCCATCCATCTCTGTAACCCCCCAAAACCCACGCAAACATAGTCCCCAAGCAATAATGTGTACACTTGGCTCGACACTCGTGTATGTCTTTCTTCTCGGACAACAAATGTGTGTGGCATATAAGGTGTCCACAAAGCAAATGAAAACATCACTGTCACTTTGCAAAGAGCGTGTTTAAGCTATATGTAGGAGCCAACAATAATTCTTATTTTCTTCAAGCGAAGGTGTTGGCACAGTAAGTTACTTTATTGAGTTACAGAACAATTGTTATGATAAAATTGTAACGTAAATTTAAAGTGTAAAGTAATTTATCTATACATATTTATTCTCCCAGCACACCACATCTTCCATACCTCGTGCTATAGTAGGTCACATGTCTACTCCAGTCTACTACCAATGCATAAAATAATTAAATCACGAATTAAGCCCTGTGTTAGAAACCAAATCAACCGTGAGATGGAGCCGTGGGTTTTGACACTGGGTTTCATTTAGGACATTCGGTGCTGTAGGTGGCAGAATGCATTCGATTAGTCTAACCATTCCTCTTTTTTGATGTACAGTGAGGGAAAAAAAGTATTTGATCCCCTGCTGATTTTGTACGTTTGCCCACTGACAAAGAAATGATCAGTCTATAATTTTAATGGTAGGTTTATTTGAACAGTGAGAGACAATAGCAACAAAAAAATCCAGAAAAACGCATGTCAAAAACGTTATAAATTGATTTGCATTTTAATGAGGGAAATAAGTATTTGACCCCCTCTCAATCAGAAAGATTTCTGGCTCCTAGGTGTCTTTTATACAGGTAACGAGCTGAGATTAGGAGCACACTCTTAAAGGGAGTGCTCCTAATCTCAGCTTGTTACCTGTATAAAAGACACCTGTCCACAGAAGCAATCAATCAATGAGATTCCAAACTCTCCACCATGGCCAAGACCAAAGAGCTCTCCAAGGATGTCAGGGACAAGATTGTAGACCTACACAGGGCTGGAATGGCTACAAGACCATTGCCAAGCAGCTTGGTGAGAAAGTGACAACAGTTGGTGCGAGATCTTCCATGGGGCTCCATGGAAGATCTCACTTCGTGGAGTTGCAATGATCCTGAGAATGGTGAGGAATCAGCCCAGAACTACACGGGAGGATCTTGTCAATGATCTCAAGGCAGCTGGGACCATAGTCACCAAGAAAACAATTGGTAACACACTACGCCGTGAAGGACTGAAATCCTGCAGCGCCCGCAAGGTCCCCCTGCTCAAGAAAGCACATATACATGCCCGTCTGAAGTTTACCAATGAACATCTGAATGATTCAGAGGACAACTGGGTGAAAGTGTTGTGGTCAGATGAGACCAAAATGGAGCTCTTTGGCATCAACTCAACTCGCCGTGTTTGGCGGAGGAATGCTGCCTATGACCCTAAGAACACCATCTCCACCGTCAAACATGGAGGTGGAAACATTATGCTTTGGGGGTGTTTTTCTGCTAAGGGGGCACGACAACTTCACCGCATCAAAGGGACGATGGACGGGGCCATGTACCGTCAAATCTTGGGTGAGAACCTCTTTCCCTCAGCCAGGACATTGAAAATGGGTCGTGGATGGGTATTCAAGCATGACAATGACCCAAAACACACGGCAAGAAAATATGAAATTTTCTTGCTGTGGTTTTCACACCTGATGATGATTGCTTGTGTTGCAGTCGAAACGTCATGATAATTTTATTGTTTTCTATATATATTTGATTATTTAATTGTTTCCCTTCTACATGACTTTATCGAAAGAACCAAGAATATGAATCCCTGCAGTCACGAAAGTTTTAAATCAAAACTTTGTGTGTTTGTTCAACAAAACTTAACACTTGCCAATTGAGGGAATTATACTGAAGATACAGAAATGGATGTGAATGATGACTTGTGAAAACTATTTTATTGTTGGTGTTACTCCAGGAAAGCATGTTAAATTTTTTTTATAGAAAAACTGAGTATGTGATAACTTATTCTTTGGTTCTTTCGGTAAAGTCACGTAGATAGAAAATAAAAACAAAAAACCCACGACGTTTCGATCGCAACACAAGTGGTCGTCATCAGGAAAAGGTTAGCCTCCAAAGGCAAACTGTTTATAAAGGTTTAGAGATGGGCGTAGTCCAAGTGTGTCAGCAGCATGGACGGGGCAGCTAATGTAAATGGAGGAGAATACAACGGGGGAGAGAGGGGGTAAAGATAGGGGGAGAGAGAGGGGGAGAGATAGGGGGGCGAGAGAGGGGGGGTAGAGATAGGGGGAGAGAGAGGGTAGAGATAAGGGGAGAGAGAGGGGGTAAAGATAGGGGGAGAGAGAGGGGGAGAGATAGGGGAGAGAGGGGGTAGAGATAGGGGGAGAGAGAGAGGGGGGTAGAGATAAGGGGAGAGAAAGGGGGTAGAGATAGGGGGAGAGAGAGGGGGTAGAGATAGGGGGAGAGAGAGGGGGGAGAGATAGGGGGAGAGAGGGGGTAGAGATAGGGGGAGAGAGGGGGGTAGAGATAGGGGGCATTGCACCTCACTCCACACACCCACACTGCTGACGGTGGAGGTTGACAAGAAACCACAAATCAAGTCAAGACCCAGAGTGGTCGATTACATCTTTCCAATGATTGCTGAGTTTATCACCGTCCTCTCGGTTGAAATTGTGTCTGTGTCTGTATATATGGATGGCTTCATGAACGAATCTTTTTTGACAGCCAGTAGGCTTGCAAAGTACCATCGTCTTAGTGAAATCAATTTCGTGTGAGCCAGCCACATTTAAATAATGATCAGCCACGGCGGAAGTATTGGTCCTACCGTGTTTCAAATCTGCCTTATGTTCACGAACACGGTTCGAGACATGTCGCTTAGTTTCCCCAATGTAACTGCTGCCACAGATACAGCTTAGTCAATGGCGGAGCCAGGATTTTCAGGTAGGGGGGGCAGTCCCTCCAGCAATGAAAAATGGTAGGAGTTGTTAGTAAGTAAGGACTTGTCCCTTGCTTTTTATTTGACGCGCGTGTGGCGATGACGAGGGTCGAATTCGAACCGTGTGTGATCAGCATCGCGCTCGCTGAAGGTGCTGATGCCTTCAGGGAAGTCGTGTACTGTACACGCAACTGCGCACAATTCCGAGTCACTGCTTTGCCGTTACTTATTGCCAATTATGGACTCATTATGGACTCAGACTATTGTCCTATCATCTCATAGAGTCCCTGGCACGTAATAATATGCTACACAGTGGCAGTGGGGGTCGCAAAATGCTGATTTATTACTAATAAACCCCAATGCTCCGATCGAAATGAGGAATTTCGATCGGATCATTGGGGGGGCACGTGCCACCCCACCCCCACTGGCTCCGCCAGTGAACTTAGTTTGTAGACGCCGGGATATTGCATGTCAAGAATCTTGTCTTTCACAGATGGGATCAGATCACGAATTTGATGTACTGTGTTAAATCGGACCTGGATCTTTTGTTTGTTCATGATTTTGGAAATATTTTTGGTTACCCCTGCTATGTATGGCAAGGTGATGGTTTTGATTGGATCTTCAGATGGCTCCTTCCTAAAGGTTAGGGTGATGGCTTTGTGGATTGTGTAGTCAGAACATCCATTCGCCTTGAGAGCTTGGTGTACGTGTTTGAGTTCACTGGATAGATGTTCATGGTCGGAGAAATATTGAGCTCTATGGTGTAGCGTTTTGATGAGGGAATTCTTCTGGGATGGATTGTGGTGGGAATCAGGTTTTAGGTAGGCCTCAGTATGGGTTACTTTCCTGGAGACAGACCCAAACGTCGTGGGTTTTTAGTTTTTATTTTCTATCTACATGACTTAACCAAAAGAACCAAAGAATATTAATTCCTGCAGTCTCGAAAGTTTTAAGTCAAAATTTACGTGATAACTCATCACTAAAACGCTGAACAAAAACTTGTATCTGTAAAAGTCAGACATATAATTATTCTAATTCACACCAAGTAGGCCATCACGAGTCATAAGCAATTTCTTTAGTTTAACTACTGAAATTATATCCAACACCTTTGACTTCATCGTAATGCTATTACACATTATTAATGAACTTGCCAACATTTTTATCCTTGTTGGTTCCGACGAAACATATCGTCTTATTGATACTGTTATTGTGATGCATGTGGAACATGAAGAAACGAGCATTCCAGTGTTTGGAGAAGGCTAAGGCAGCAACAGTGTCCGCTGCTGGTGTACATTGCGATATTTTCTTTGTTACAAAAGTAGAACATGTTTAATCTTGGCTAGACATTTATTTATTCACCTCTGCCATTTCTGTAATCCTGGGCCTGAATCCAGACTCTGCACGGAAGCAAAGCAGAGCTCCATCGCTCGGGTTTTTGAATCCTGCCCCCAAACCACCTAAATAATTTGGAACTCGAGTTTAATGATGAAGCCAATTAGCTGCTCAGTTCACACGTGGCGCAGGCAGAAATAAGGAGCATTGCTTATTATCCACGTGGCATTATAAATTGAGCTTTCAGATGAGCTCTGCTCCTAGCGCAGACTAAAAACCCCACGTACAAATGAGTACACAGCATAATCCAACATGCAAAAATACTGGATATGGTTATACATTAGTATCGCTGGTGTAGAAACCATGGCCTTTCTATCATATCCATCGCAAGCTAAAGCCTCAGTAGTAAAATATATAAATACATTATTTTCCAACAACAGAATTATAGCAGGCAGGATACACTTACCTATAACTGTATTTATACACGCACATTTAGGGTTTGCTTCTCATCAATGAGCACGACGTTCACACCGGTAGATGGAAAGCGAACCGAGAACGTGACTGTGTTGCATTGCAGTGAAATCATCTCACCCAGAGAAGAACCGGACGCGTAACGTTGTGAAACATGATCGGAGAGACACGCCGGGCCCATTTATTGATTAATTTACGTGTGACGCGTCCTAGAATGACATGCAAGCTTTAATACGAGTATGCGTTGGGCATGCTTGTGCAGTATTATCAGCGCAATAACTGGCTACTAGAATATGCATTTACTCTCCTAGTCTGGTAATATGAGCCCATCAATTTCACCCACGCCCACAATGCCCAACGCCTTCCCATGAACTGATGCACTTGATGATTCGATATTGTCATCATGTTCAATGATCCTAACAGTGAATATTGATAAACAAAGATCCGCATGAGCATATATATTTTGCACCGAAATAACTTTGAGTGGTGTCATTTGGTAAATGAGAACACAATCGTGCACACTGATACACATATACCATCCACACAACTGGTTGCTTGCTCATGCTTATGTAGTCACGCCAGTACAAAACATCTTGCATTTCACTATATATGAAACACAAAGTTGGAAATATTGTTGCTAAAATTGTGCTTATTATACATATTCTACACCAAGGGGTTCTCAAACTCCAGTTCCACACGAAGCTCCATGGTCCACCTTTCCACGTTAACCGCTCTTCTCCATTCAATACACAATGAGTCGGTAGATGCTGCACGCCCCTCATTATTTCTAAACAGCAGCATCGTGTGACAGCACACTCCACGTGACTTTTGGGGTGCACATACTAGGGATTCCGTGGCATAGTTTTCACGACACACATTTTTTGCAAAGTGATGATTATAGTGATATCAGTTTTCCAGAATTTTTGGAATTGCGTTTTGCATTTTTATTGTATTTTTGTTGTGCTTTACTGTACATCCAGTACAAAATATGTTTAATTAAAATCATGCAACTGCAGTTAACTCAAAATAAGCCTACTCCACATCTTCTAATCTCTCAGAACTTTGCAATCTGTGACGCTGATAACCACGATGTAACAAAAGTTAACAAAATCGACGATACGATTATTGTGGATCTTATATCGTACAATGTGTCGCAAATTTTCCATATCGCGCAACCTTAGCATGCACGAGCACACAAGACCTCTATTTTAATTATAATACATTTCTCCATCACATAGGTGTTTTACAATCAGCAGGTATGTGTTGCGTGGTACTACTTAATTTGTATTTGAAGGGAGGGAAATTAGGTGATCTTAGAACAACCTGTGTGGTGGGCTCGTGAGGTCGGGAGTTTGAGAAACGATGGTCTACCCGATTTTGTTTTCAGTACAAGGCCACTTTCCAGGGTGGAGTGAAAAAGAATCTTTAGAAGCCACTAGTATGTACACAAAGAATGCATTATATATCTGTGCATTGATAAAAAGAACAGAAAACAAGACCATACATTTGTTTTACTTAACGAAGAAGAGGGGGAATTTGTATTGTTGCTGCCAGGGCAACAATCTTACTCGTATACTACATGGGGTGGCTACAAAGTGATTTGAGAATTAGATAATAAAAGTATGCATAGATTCACAGTTACATTAGGTTCAAACTTTGATTCATCATCATCATCATCATCGTAGGCAATGATCTATCCACTGCTGGATGAAAGCCTCCCCAAGCCGTTAACATCTCCCATGGTCTTGAGATGCAACAATCTATCGAGCTGCCGCACATCTGTTGATTTCACCGCTCCATCTCTGTGGTGAAAGTACTTTCTGGAGAATCAAAACCCCAGCATCAATGTGCTTATTCTGGTGTATTATTACTGAAGAATGTGTCGACATAAGCATAGCTTGATGTTGATGCACCTGTCATCTTCTTCCCAAAAATTTGGACCACCCCTTTTCCAAACATGGTTGTAAACCCCTCCTCCCTCCCATTAAACATTTTATAGATGTGTATCGATATTATGGAAATAATATTTGATTTCTTTTTTAATAGCTCCAACCTGCATCCGATGTTTGTTATTTCAACTAAGTGTACAAATGGATTCACGTGAAGATGTTTATAAATTGCAACGCAATTTAAAAACGTTGCAGGTTCCAGCATATCATGGTTTCAGCAGCACCCCATGAATAGACGTGTCATAGGGCTGCCATTGACGGCACCATGTTGTAAGTGTTTTGTCGCCATGGTAAAAAAAATGGACAGTAAGTTATTTAAAATAATTCATTACATGTTCAGCACTTTTACAAGTACATGGCAAAGCAGCAGCTGCCCACAGCACAGTTGCTTCCATTCGTTAATGTGCCGATTCTACAGTGTTTCATGAATTGATAGCTTCGCAAAATAAAGGTTAAATTCTTTGGTCAAAATGACATATTTGCAATCTTGGCCCGATAGAAAATCCAGGCCCCACATATCTCTCGCAGTGCCAGGATATCTGTCGTGCGTTCACGTCCCGTCGGCATAGCTTTCTCTACACGTTCGTTCCCTCCTCATCGGCGAATTCGACGACGTCGATGACCTGGTGTCCCATAGGCCCTTTCAGCACGCACATAGAGAACGTGTCCCTGTCACCAGAGTGCAGCATCGACACCGCATTGGCCGTGTTTGCAATTGCATCCCCCACCCGACTCTCAGGGCTTTGTCTGTCGCTGGATCCACTGGGAGCATCTTGAGGCCACTTTGACGAGTCAGGGGGCGGCTTCCCTTTGGGTCTGAGTGACGACTCGTCGCTTTGGAGAAGAAATGCTCTGACGCCTACCTCTTGACCCTGAGTCTCCTGGCAGTCAGATTCCAAGGCAGTTCCTCTTGGCAGGTTTTCTCCGGGCACGGTGTGAGAGCCCGGATTGCCACTATCAGCCGGGAAAACGCTGACCCCTTCAATGGCGTGTCTGTCGCGCTCTCGGCTGGACAGCAGGCATGCCTGCTGTTGCTGCTGCTGGGACTCTGAACCAGTGGACAGAAATCTGTCCTCTCCGCTCTCGCAGTGGCCCAAGAGAGAGAAGGAGGGTCCGTGGCGGTGACGCTCTGGCCCCGCGGTGGAGTCTTCTCCGTTACTGTTGAACGAGCTAACAACAACACCCGCGGTCCAGCCTTGAGGCCCTGACCTCAGGATAGGCGTGAGCATCTCCGAAAGTTGCCTGATATCCCTGCTGAGTCGGCACACCTCTCCCGACATGTTGTCCATCTGGAATTGAATTAACGCACAATACGCACACAAATGCGCAGAGATCTTTCACACAAATATACTTACGTATATGTTTATAGCCCTTTGTCAATCCACTGCTGCATGAAGGCCTCCCCGTGCTGAGTTGGTATTGGGGGTTGTTTGACCGTGTCCCCATGCTGGCCAGTGCTGGTTGTTGCAGAGGGCATCCAGGACCAGTTCGAATATCACCACCAAACTCGGGTGTCAGGGTCCATGGCGCAGGGTGCAAAGCATTGTATTGCCACTTCGCCCCTCTTATACTTACACGCAAAATAATGTATACTTTGCGTCTTGCATGAGTATGTCACTTTCACAAACGCATAAACATGGAAATATACATGGGTTTTTATTTTTATGAGAAAAAAAACACATGCTCTGTAAGTAATCCTGCAAGCAACGTATCACTCTAATTGACAGCTGGAACAAACCCGATTAAGTCAGATAAAACCAACGTTTGCCTTGGCTCCCAGCTAAGTATCAAGATTATGAGGGAAGTCCTCCTTTCCCTGTCTGATCTACTGCCATTCCCTAACACAATTCCTCACAGTCCTTCACTTACAGTACCTCGCTTACCTCCACCCTCACCACCCAATCTTCACACTCACACAGTGCCACCCGTTGTAAAACGGTGGCATTGTGGGTGCTTGGAGAACTGAGATGAGAGGGGAGAGGTAGTAGAGTGTGCGGAGCAGAGAAGAGTGAGTTGAGAGCTCAGAGCTAGGCAGGGGTGAGTCCCAATCTGCCAAGATCTGGCGAGAGGGTGGTGGTGGGGGAGTGAGGGAGGGGCACAATAGGCTCCCTATAACTCTACCTGTTCGTTGAGCCGGTTTATGCTTTGCCGGTTTTCCTCCAGATCCGATGAACCCCTGGCATGAGGTTGCTGTGCAGCGAGATGAAACTCTGCAAATGCAAGATAGCATACTGATGGGACACTGTTCATAACTACGACGGTCCTCACGACTGGCACAAGGAATTTATAATCATCGAAATAATGTCCCTTATTTAACCAGGAAAGTTTCACTATAATCAGGAAAGTTTCACTTTAACCAGGAAAGTTTCACTATGTCATCTGAACCAGTTCTGTGCTTCCTCCCAGCACTGACCAGTGTGATGAAGTTCAGCCAAACATCCCTCTTGACCTCTTGACCTACACAGCGAGGGGAGGCCCTGATCCAGCAGTTTACTATCAAAGTGCTATATATTGCAATACATTTGTATTATTTTTGTGAATTAAAAAGGCAACAATAGAGTTTTGCAGTTACCTTTATCTTACAAGTGTAATAATTCTAATAATCTAGATTGTTATCGGTTTTTGCTCAACATGCTGGGAGCTTCTTGAGGAACTGAACTCGCAGCACGCGGAGCGAAATGTTGGGACACTGTGGCGAACAACGCTTGGTAACAACCCGAGAGCGCAGTAGAGAGGATTTGGAGCTAATCTTGATTTGAAGCTTTCGTGACTGCAGGAATCCATACTCTTTGGTTCCTTCGGTAAAGTCACGTAGGTATAAAATAAAATAAATTACGACGTTTCGATTGCAATACAAGCAATCATCATCAGGTGGGAAAATCACAGCAAGAAAAAATGTTTTTTGCTGAAGTGGGAGAGAGAGATGCCGTGGTAAGAGGTTATATAGGTAAGAAAGGGGGGAGGGGCAAGGGGGGAGAGGGAGGAGGGAGGTGGGGGTGTGGGGTAGGGGGAGCGCTGCGTGGACGCTTGGAGAGGGAAGTGAGGCTGGGGTGGGGGGAAGTGGGCGGGGTTGGAAGTGGGAGGCCGAGAGAGCTGGGGATGCGGGGGGGGAAGTTAACTCGGAAAAATAGACCAGTACCCGGCAGGTATGAAAGAAGACCACCACTACAAAGCAGTTAGGGTTTTACCTGGTTAATAACATCCTTCCAATGATTGCTCAATTTGTATCCATCTTCTCGGTTGAAGTTATGTCTATGTTCATATATCTGGATGGCTTCATGAACAAACCTTTGATAGTAGCCTGACGGTTTGCAGAGTACCTTGCTCTCGGAAAAAACAATATCATGCGAGCCCACAGCGTTATAACAATGGTCAGCTACGGCCGAGGTATTGGTTCTGCCGTGTTTCAGATCTGCCTTGTGTTCGCAGACACGGTCCGAGACATGTCATTTAATTTCCCCGATGTAACTGTTGCCACAGGTACAACTAAGTTTGTAAACTCCATGATACTGCATGTCAGGAATGACATCCTTCACAGACGGGATTAGATCACGTTCATGAAAGAACCAAAGAGTATGGATTCCTGCAGTCACGAAAGCTTCAAATCTAGATTAAACCGCCTCTACGGGGAGGGTTTTCACACATCTGTTAGAGCTTTTAGCAGACTGCGAGACAAGAAGGCTCACCTGATCGAGTCGCTAACCTTTCTCAAGAGATGCCGCGATAACAAGGTAATACCGATCGCATTTACACTCACATCTGCTGTTGTCACTTCTCCTAACGCTAAACGGATCTTGTTTAAAGCTAGCCTATCGCTAATCTCAGAGATAATAAGATTGCTCTGATTTGAACTTGATCATTTAAACAAGACTCTCTTACAATCACACTTAAAATTAACAGCTAAAATGTCCACTTCTGATTGGGACCATGTAGATAACATGACAGTCTCCTCTGCTAATTCAATGTTAACCAAATGTAAAGTTAACTTGATCGCTAAATTCAACCTGTCAAAAAAGAAACCAGAGCCACACGTTAAAAAGTTAGATGTTAACAAGATTGTCATCAATCAGAGTAACATCCCAATTTCTGACAGCCTAAACTCGGTAGTAGCTAAAGGGTTGAATTTCGCAGTCACCCCTAAACACATCCCAGTGGATGATATACCGTATTTTCCCGCATATAACCCACGGGGTATACCAATTTTTAAAAACAAAACAAGACCCTGCAGGGTATATGGAGGTGCAGGCTATCCCAAAAATATTTTACACGTGTGACATGTCATAACTCGTTAAATTTTTTCATGGTAGGACTATCCACTATGCAACACTTACCTTTGACTAAAGCACTGTTGAATAAACCACTAACACTAAAATTGCACATGTTATCACGTTTTCAATGATTCTAATTGTTTGTACATTTAACGACAATGTTTGAAGTGGGCGCACTTTGTTTTTGGCGACGGGAGAGCTGGGGGGAAAGAGAGGTTGGGGGTTGGGGGGTGGTTGCAGAGCAAGGTCTGCGGTGGTGACGGAAGAGCTGGGGGGAGAGAGAGGTGGGGGGGGGGCGAGGCGACGGTGTTACCGTAGTGCCGCTATTGTCTGCGCAGTGCGCAATCTACCAGTGCAAAAACTGTACTTACTTATCTACCAGTTATGTGTTACTTATTTATTGGATATTTACTTTTGTAGTTATTTACTGTTTTAAGTTCACTCGTTTCCGGTTAGTTTGTTTTGTTTGTGCACGTTATTATTTAAATGTTAACAATTGATAGTGGAATGTATTACAAGTGTAAACTTCATATTAATATGATGAAATTAAGCTGCGGTAACGACGTTAAACATATGAATGCCTGCGGGGTATAAGGAGATGCGGGCAATCTGAATTTTTTACACAAAACTCTATTTTTGCTGGGTATATGCGTCTGCGGGTTATATGCGTATGCGGGCTATATGCGGGAAAATACGGTAATCGCCCAGGTCCAGGTAGCCCTCAAAGGCTTGGGACACATCCCGACAGACGTTGCGAGATCGGAAATTGCCACCATCCTTAAAAATGCTAAGAAACCCATTAGTAGCATTAGCAAAGACGAGCGCTCTGAACTCGCCAAATTGAAAAAGAGAGATGACAGTCATCCTCTCGGCCGACAAGGGCAATGCTACTGTCATCATGGATAAAACCACATACAACAACAAAATCCGGGACCTTCTTAATGATGGCAGTTACATCAAAATCAACAAAGATCCTACTAAACGCCTGGCTACAAAAAACAACAATAGCATTACCCGTTCGACCTCTCTAATCGAACCATTCAAACGGCTCTGCCTAAAACCTTCTGCTACTAGACCACCCATATTCTATGGTCTTCCTAAAATCCATAAAGAAGGTACTCCAATTCGGCCAATCGTTTCCACTATCAACTAACCTACCTACAAACTGACCCGTTTTCTGTCTGACACCTTGCTTGCATTCACGGGCAAGACTACCTCAGCAATACGTAACTCAGCTCACTTGATCTCTCTTATCAAAGGCATTTCACTGTCCCCAGATTATTTTCTCGTCAGCTTTGATGTATCTTCTTGGTTCAGAACATAGCTATTTCAATGCTAAATTATTCTGTTGATATGTAAACTCCTTTGTCAAGGTGCTCTGCTCCTCCCACCCAGCTTAAAATACGCTGCCAAGCTTAGCAGTGTTCATTGGAGCGCTGTCTTTCCGACAGTTCTGTTTCTTCACCTGAGGACGGCTGCTTGTGTTGTGGCCGAAACGTCGTGATAATTTTATTTTAGTGTTTTATTTTTATTATTTTATTTATTTCCCTTCTACTTGACTTTACAGAAAGAACCAAGAAGATGAATCCCTGTAGTCATGAAAGCTTTAAATCGAAGCTTTATGTAATTTCTCTGTTCACCAAGGTCCAGTACCTGACACCTTAGCAATAATTGAAGACTTTGTCCAACATGGACTGAATCCTGATGTACCTAATCTGGTTAGGCGCTGTCTTACCAACACTTACTTCACCTGTAATGGTACGTTCTACAAACAACATGAAGGTACCCCCTTGGGTCCCCCCTTATCACCAGTGATAGCAAATGTTTTCATGGAGAAATTTGGAACAGATGCAATTCAGACATCCACCCTACGTCCGCCATTGTGGAAGAGATATCTAGATGCCACTTTCGTCATTTGGCCACATGGCCTGCCAGCTTTGAACCAATTTCTCAACCACATCAATTCCATACACCCATCCATCGAATTCACCATGGAAGTGGAGAAGGATGATAGCTACCTTTCCTGGTTGTTTTGTTTGAGAAGAGACCTGACGGCTCGTTGGGACACTGTCTACAGGAAATCCACCCACACAGATTCCTATCTGAAATCTGATTCCCACCACCATCCGGCACAGAAAAATTCCCTTATCAAAACACTACATCAAAGGGCCCACTGCATTTCCGACCAACACCACCTAGCCAGTGAACTGTAACACGTACACCAGGCGCTCAAGATGAATGGGTACTCGGAGCACATTATTCGCAAAGCTGTTTCTCCAACCATGGAGAAACAACCTCCTGAGAAGCCAATCAAAACCATCATATTACATACATAGCAGGCGTTACCAAAAAGATTTCTAAAATCTTAAACAAACCCAAGATCCAGGTCCAATTCAATACAGTACACAAAATCCGTTATCTAATCCCATCTGTGAAGGATGTCATTCCTGACATGCAGTATCATGGAGTTTACAAACTTAGTTGTACCTGTGGCAGCACTTACATCAGGGAAATTAAATGACATTTGTCGGACTGTGTCCGCAAACACAAGGCAGATCTGAAACACGGCAGAACCAATACCTCGGCCATAGCTGACCATTGTTATAACACTGTGGGCTCGCATGATATTGTTTTTTCCGAGACCAAGGTACTCTGCAAACCTTCAGGCTCCTATCAAAGGTTTGTTCATGAAGTCATCCAGATATACAAACACAGACATAACTTCAACCGAGAAGATGGATACAAATTTAGCAATCATTGGAAGGATGTTATTAACCAGGTAAAACCCTAACTGCTTTGTAGTGGTTGTCTTCTTTCATACCTGCCGGGTCTATTTTTCCAAGTTAACTTCCCCCCCGCATCCCCAGCTCTCTCGGCCTCCCACTTCCAGCCCCGCCCACTCCCCCCCCCAGCCTAACTTCCCTCTCCTAGCGTCCATGGAGCGCTCCCCCTACCCCCACCCCCCTCCTCCCTCTCCCCCTTTCTTACCTATATAACCTCTTACCACGGCATCTCTCTCTCCCACTTTTAGCAAAAAACCTTTTTTCTTGCTGTGGTTTTCCCACCTGATGATGATTGCTTATGTTGCAATCGAAACATGGTGATTTATTATATTTTATACCTACATGACTTTACCGAAAGAACCAAAGATTTGGAGCTAATTACCGCTCGCGGGTGTGGCGGCGACGATGGCGACATCCGTGAAGCTGGCTGACCCCCTGACCCTCTGGGAGCTTCCTGTGTCTTCAGTGCCATCAACAACCCTGCGCGGGGGAGAGAAGTGGAGATGCTTATTTATTTTAAGCAGAGCAGCAGCGGATTGAGCTTGTCTGAATGTGGGCAAATAACAACTCAGGGGGAGAGGGGCAAGGCACGACTTGGTGAACATTAAATAAACTTTAAACAAATGTTAAATAGTTATCAGAATGAGTAACGATACGATCTGCATTTGCCTATCGTGCATGCTGCTCTAACTCTAACCCCATGGGTATACGAGGAAAGACTGTTGGCGCGTATCACTTACTTGTTGTCATTTTATCGTTTTGTCCAGACCCCTTCAGCTATTGCCGACAACTCATACATCTGTTGTGTCCTATAACTAACCACACGGAGACGTCTGCTGGAGGCAACACGTTTATTATAACAACTCTGAACACTCTGTTAACACACTACTACACACGCCGGGCTACGCTACACGCCAGCTACGCTACCGAGCTACTCTACACGCTGAGCTACGCTTCAACCCTGGCTTAGCGAGAGCCTCAGGGAGGGTCCCAGGGTGTCCTGCGCTACCTCGGGTCCGCGACAACCGGCTCTAACGAGAGCCTCGGTTGAGCATCCCCAGGTGCTGTCCCAGTCTTCAGGTCTTCAGATGTCTTTCAGTTTGAGTTGGTGAGTACTGCCGGACCCGTTCAGAGGGCCGGCTTTTATCCTCAGGTCGGGGGCTCACCCCTCCCTTAAGCACCCCCTCTCCAGAACCTTCTAAAAGGTCTTAAATCTTAAAGGGTATTAAATTTGGCCGGTGGCCCCCTGTCGGCCCGTGAGCGTGGTGGCCGGTAAAGCTGCTTACAGCGCCTTGTTATGGCGCAACACATCAAATGACTTGACTCAAAGAATTTTAAAGGGTGGCCGAGTAGAACGTGAGAGTGAATCACGTGGCATTCAAACCAATAGCAACGGGTTATTTTCACCATTTGTGATTGTCTGTCTGAAACGGTAAAAATGCGAAGTAAAATACAAAAACGCACTTTTGACGGTTATGATTGAATTTGTTTTAAACTTTCAAAAGTTAAAACATCTTTACTGTCAATTAAAAATTACATTTTCACACTTCCCAGAAATGTGCACTGTACTACCTGATATATTAGAAGTTTAAGAACTAACCCCCCGACAATGCGCTAAATTGTCATGATTCCAAATATCGATTTGAGTTTTTTCCCTTCTCTTTAAAAATGCGGTGGATATAGTAGCCACTCGTGGCTGCAGGGGTCACATAAACCCATCATACCGATTGAGAGATGTTCTTAACAAAACATTATTAACACATGTAATTTGATGTGGGCCTTACCTGGCAAAAATAAAAATAAAATAGTTTTAGTTTGGACGTAGATGGCGTGAGCTTAACAATCAGCGTTTATCAATGAACTGATGCATGATCACACATGAAATATTTACAGTATAAATATGTGTTGTGTGATAATATGTATACACAAACAGTTATATCTGTACTATGGTTATGAAAGAACAGTAATCGATTTCAGACTCGAATACCGGTTCTGAACGTCAGGAAACCATTAAACATTTACAGTGGAAATTTAGTAACGAATGCCCAGATTGGAATTGTGCGGCTGCCTAAGTCACTGATAAAAGGTAAATATGCAGCCCTGCGATTGCTTGCTCACGCCACTGCTGGTGGAAGAGCCAACTCCACTAGAGGGAGGCCAACAGGGTGTTTTGTCTGCTCTTCCATGCTGGCCAGACGTCTTGGAAGAGGTGGGAGTACACAGACTTTTCCCTCCCATCACACGTGACCTGCCGATCGACTAACTGTGGTGTGGACAGAGGCAGTGAGATTAAGACCTTTCTCCCATTGTCTCAGTTACTGCGCCGGGAGATGAAGTCGAACCTCTGGATTGCAAATCCAGTGTGCTATGCATTAAAACGCAGCAGCTCCCTTAATTTCTCAGTTTAAAAGATACAAATTTCATATTTTTTGATAATATTTTATAGATGCGGCAAACGGGTAGCTGTGTTTATGCTAGTTTTTTTATACCATTCAGTTTCCGATAATGCGAGAAAATTGTGATTTTCACATCGCTAATCTATACACATTGTTTATCAACAGCGAGCGGCAAGCTGCTTGTAAACACACATTATGCACCACGTACAACACGCTTTGTGTTTAGCTATTGTAAGCCGTCCTTGATTAAAATTATGCTCATGGACTAAAACAAATTATATAAATGTAATTGGCTTAAAAAAATGTCACGAGATTTGTTGCCCGGCAGAAATGCATTTGTCAGCGCAAAGACTTAAAAAAAGAATGCCCAATAAAATTCAACTAAAATTTTCTTGAACATTTTTAGACTTGAAGATGAAATTTTTTTAAATAATAATATTCTTTAAAACATATTTGGGATGTTTTTGCGGTATTTTATTAAAAACAGTGTAAAGTATATGAAGAACACTGTTACTCTGCATGATAAATAAGTAACAATGAATGTACATTTTCATTCAAATTAATTAAACTTGTTCAGTATAATTGTAAGACATTCATAAATATATTTTGCATGCATTGGGCAGCACTATTTTCACATTGGTCTCCTGGTGTTTTACAGACAAAGATGCATAAAGTGGTTTTCACTCTAAAGCTTGGGTTCAACTTGACCTTGAAGTCTGATCCATTGCTCATGGTTGAGCTTTGCTGCGGGAAATTCCAGGTGCTGTATTGCCTACAGGCTACATGTCTCACTAAAGTGAGACAAGCAAGTCATATTAGTGCATTGACAATAATGGACACGATTGAAAAGCGAATGTCTCAATGCGCAAATGATCATCGGAGGCAATAATAAACCCCACTGGAAGTTCTGAACCAGTGACGGAAAGTCCACGTTCACATGGTGGGAGGCAATCTCTCCAAAGGATAACTGCTGTTAACTGCCCACCAAGAGGCACTCGATGTATTTATCATCAGGGAGATGATGGGCTGTGATGTCCCCCCCCAACCAGGATGTGAACTCAGCATCTTTAAATTGATAAGTTTGTGGCTGAACCAAAATCACCACTCATTTGGAATACCTGACAATCCAACTAAAATGTTTTTTCAACTCCAAAATTATACATGTTAATTATGCTCACTGCGCATTTCACTTTAAAAAGGAAGGGCTGACCTAAGACTGACTGGGATAACACAATGAACTAAAGGTGAAGTTACATGGGAGAGTGTCAGGGAATGATGGAGAGAGAGAATCAGGAAGGTCAAGGCTACAGGCAGGACAGTGAGAGACCTGCCAACTGGGTGAGTAAGAGATTCAATGCACATCATCATCAGTATTCACCAGCCATTGTTTCTCCACTGCTGGATTAAGGCCTCCCCACACTGTTGGCATTCCAGAATCCATATCCTGCATTTTCTCGTTTGGATACCATCCCATCTCCAGTCTCATCCACTGACCATCATTAATGTTTTGCAATGTGTCCTGTATTTGCCCACTTAATTTTCTTAACATTCAATACAATGTCCCTGATTTCTGCTTGTTCCCCAATGCATGTGCTTTTTGTTGTCTGCCACTGGAATGGTGAGAATGCTCTTGTCCATGATTTTGTGTGCAGTCTTCAGCTTTTTATTCCATTTTCTTTGTCAAGCATCCACATTGCCGATTTACTTGTCGTAGCTGGCAGCAGCGTGCAGCATGCCCATAATAACCCTGGTATTGAACAGACTCATAGGAAGTAACAAGGTTGTTTTACTCTGGGCACAATAGGAGCTTAGCAGTCTATGACTGGCAACCTTCGGCTGAGCGCAAGTTCCCGCGAGGATGAACACGCAAAGGAGTGAATCAGCCGAGGTACTACCCATTGTCCCTTTCACTCATCACCAGACTCGCCAAGCAGTTAACCCACCAATCTCCATGCCCTCATAGAACTACACATGTCAACACAACAAATACACTGTGGAAAGGTATTGAAAACCAAGGTTATTGGTAAACAGCGGTAATTAACAATTGAAAAATAGAGTGATTTGAAGCTTTCGTGACTGCAGGAATCCATACTCTTTGGTTCTCTCGGTAAAGTCACGTAGGTAGAAATAAAATAAAACAAATCACGACGTTTCGATCGCAACACAAGCGACCATCATCAGGTGGAACCGATACAGCAGGACAACTGATGATTTAGGAGAAAGCTCTGTTAACAACAAGAGCTTGTAAAGGGTTTTGGTGGGCTCAACCCCAGGGGTAAGTGGGCGGAGCTAGAGAAGGAAGAAAGGGGGGAGGCAAGGAGGGAGGGAGCGGGGAGTTGGGCGCAGGTAATAGATGGAAGGTAGAGAGAAGCTGGGTTAGTGATGCTAATTTTAGAAAATTAGCATGTCAATGGTACAGGATGCTGCAGCGTTGGCTGCCGCGTTGTGAGATGAAAGCGTGTAACGGGGTTATGATGGCTGAGCCAGTAAGACAAACAGCCCATGAAACAGCAAGAGCCATAGAAACATCGAAACATCCAGGCCAAGGGAGCAAAAGGAGGCCATGTCAGTGATACCCCAGCCCGCTCTTGCAAGGGCATCCAACAGGGTAATACAACTCAGAGTCGGAAGGTAATAGTATAAATGGCAGGCAAGATGGAAGTATCACAGCGAACTCTGACCAACCTGGTTAATAACGTCCTTCCAATGGTTGCTTAGCTTATATCCATCTTCCCGGTTGAAATTATTTCTGTGTTTATAGATCTGGATGGCTTCATGGACAAATCTTTGAAGGTAGCCCGACGGCTTGCAGAGAACCTTGGTCTCGGAAAAAAACAATATCATGCGAGCCCACAGCATTATAACAATGGTCAGCTACGGCAGAGTTATTGGTCCTGCCGTGTTTCAGATCTGCCTTAAAAATGCTAAGAAACCCATTAGTAACATCAGCAAGGATGAGCGCTCTGAACTCGCCAAATTGAAAAAGAGGGATGACATCGTCATCCTCTCAGCCGACAAGGGCAATGCCACTGTCATCATGGATAAAACCACATACAACAACAATATTCAGGACCTTCTTAATGATGGCAGTTACACCAAAATCAAGAAAGATCCTACCAACCGCCTGTCTACAAAAAACAACAATATCATCACTAATTCGACTTCTCTAATCCAACTAAACAAGCAGCTCTCCCTAAAACCTTCTGCTGCTAGAACACCCAAACTCTATGGTCTCCTAAAAATTCATAAAGAAGGTACTCCACTTCGCCCCATTGTTTCCATCATCAACTCACCTACATACATACAAACTAGCCAAATTTATTTCTGAGACCTTGCTTCCATTCACAGGCAAGACTTCCTCAGCAGTACTTAATTTAGCCCATTTGGTTTCTCTAATCAAGGGCATCTCACTGTCTCCAGACGATATACTTGTCAGCTTTGATGTAGTCTCTCTGTTCACCAAGGTTCCTGTACCTGACACCTTAGCAATAATTGAAGACTTGGTCCAACATGGACTGAATCCGGATGTACCAACTTTGGTGAGGCACTGCCTTACCAACACTTACTTCACCTAGAATGGCACTTTCTAAAAACAAAATGAAGGTACCCCCATGGGTTCCCCCTTATCACAAGTGGTAGCGAATGTTTTCATGGAGAAATTTGAAACAGATGCCATCCAGACATCCACCCTACGTCCTTCCTTGTGGAAGAAATACGTAGATGACACTTTCGTCATTTGGCCACATGGCCTGCCAGCACTGAACGAATTTCTCAACCACAAATTCCATAACCCATCCATCAAATTCACCATGGAAAGGGAGAACGAGGGTAAGCTACCATTCCTGGACGTTTTGATTGAAAAGAGACCTGATGGCTCTTTGGGACATTGTCTACAGGAAAGCCACCCACACGGATTCCTATCTAAAGCCTGATTCCCACCACCATCTGGCCCAGAAGAATTCCCTCATCAAAACACTAATCCATAGGGCCCACTGCATTTCCTACCAACACCACCTAGCCAGTGAACTGGAACACGTACACCAAGCCCTCAAGATGAATGGTTACTCAGGTCATTCCTGACATGCAATACCCTGGAGTCTACAAACTGAGTTGTACCTGCGGTAGCAGCTACATTGGGGAAACGAAACGACATGTCTCGGATCGTGTTCGCAAACACAAGGCAGATCTGACACACAGCAGGACCAATACCTCTGCCATAGCTGACCATTGTTATAACGCTGTGGGCTCACATGATATTGTTTTTTCCGAGACCAAGGTGCTCTGCAAGCCGTCGGGCTACCTTCAAAGATTTGTCCATGAAGCCATCCATATCTATAAACACGGAAATAATTTCAACCGAGAAGATGGGTATAAGCTAAGGAACCATTGGAAGGACATTATTAACCAGGTTGGTCAGAGTTCGCTGTGATACTTCCATCTTGCCTGCCATTTATACTGTTACCCTCCGACTCTGAGTTGTATTACCCTTTTGGATGCCCTTGCATAAACGGGCTGGGGTATCACTGACATGGCCTCCTTTTGCTCCCTTGGCCTAGATGTTTTGATGTTTCGATGGCTCTTGCTGTTTCATGGGCTGTTTGTCTTACTGGCTCAGCCATCATAACCCCGTTACACGCTTTCTTCTCACAGCGCGGCAGCCAACGCTGCAGGATCCTGTATCATTGACATGATAATGTTTTCACATTAGCATCACTAACCCAGCTTCTCTCTACCTTTCATCTATTACCTGTGCCCAACTCCCCTCTCTCTCCCTCCTTGCCTCCCCCTTTCTTCCTTCTCTAGCTCTGCCCACTTACCCCTGGGGTTGAGCCCACCAAAACCCTTTACAAGCTCTTGTTGTTAGCAGAGCTTTCTCCTAAATCATCAGTTGTCCTGCTGTATCGGTTCCACCTGATGACGGTCGCTTGTGTTGCGATCGAAACGTCGTGATTTATTTTCTTTTATTTCTACCTACGTGACTTTACCGAAAGAACCAAAGAGTATGAAAAATAGAGTGTTGCTGTACACACATATGAAACTGTGCAGAAACACAGAATAGAGTATTTTAAAAAATAATAATTAAAGAAAATCCATTGAAATGCAGTGGACGCTATTGAAAAACAATGGAAGAAAAAATCGAAGCAATTGGGTACAGTTTTCAAAACAGAGGTCAAAGTTATGATGATCATGCCACCAGGTGCTGACTTCTGTGCCTCAATGCTGTGGTGGGGGCGGAGTGGAGCCCACAGTAAGAGGATGCATGCAATTCACCAACCAGCTGGGTGATTGATACCTACCATTCTACACTTATGTAAAAATATACCGATGACTGTCTACTAGGAGCCTTTTTATACTGGTAGGAACCTCCTGGTTCCACCAGCCCACAGGGGATTACTGTGTCCGTCCGTCCGTCGTGCATCCAAAAATGGGAGGGGTGGGGCTGGGTGGAGAGGGGAGGGTGGGGAAGGGTTGGGTGGGGAGGGAGGGGCTGGGTGGGGAAGGCGGCCACGGCACACACAAGGGGGTGGCCACCAATCACGTCCGGCCATCTTCACGACATTTTTCCCTCCACGTGGAGAATCAACAACATGCGTTTGGAGTGTGCGGCTGCTCTCAATCTCTACATTATAAGCCGCCAATTTGTTGAGCCATCATTCGAGGCAAGGTTACTTCGGAATCGTATACCACTCAGTGGGCCCTGCCCGGTCAAAATAAAACATTTAGTTGAGCACTGTACACATTTCCGCACAGGGCACTGTACACACACGTGTGCTGTATCAACTACCGACCTTGGGAGCTGCTGCTATACGAGGTGCGGTTCCTGTTTTGAAAAAAACCCCACACCATTCCTCCTGGGTCGATAAAATAGCTACCGCTTTGTGGGGAAGCCAACGGCGCTTGTGTGTGTACACCTATGTTAACCACGCTGTGTGTGTGTGTACACCTATGTTAACCACACTGTGTGTGTATATACCTATGTTAACCACAGTGTGTGTTGTGTACACTTTTTTTTGAGGAACAGCTTTTTTTTCTCTCCACCATCCCAGGTCCCCACTCGGTCCCCACCCTTCACGCCGGCTTGTGCCCGCCCTCACAGTCAGGCACATTTGCGGAATACACCACGTGGTGCCGGCGTTGACCCTGGTCATTGACCGAGAAACCCAACGTTCCTACCAGGTCCCTCCGCAGGAATGTGTTTAGCTCGTCCCTTCCCTCGAACGTCCCCTCTCCTTGTGCTCTCCCCTTTTGTCCTTCTCGAGCCCCCTTTCTCGAACTTTCCCTCACTGTTTGTACTGCAGCCATTCCCCTGGCCTTCTCCAACGATTCCCAACCATCGCCTCCAGGTTACACTTCTGTTTCCTGCTTTTTCCCGTTTAAATCCTTCCTCCAATATTTTCAAACTCTGCCTCCTGCCCAATAGGAGGCCTTGGCTTATTTTTTTAAATCCAGTTTGGCTGTACATTGGCTTGGGGTGAGTGCCTCTTAATTTCGGTCATTACATATGTAATTACAGATGTACCCTTTGTCAGGTATAATAATTGATTATACTTCACCACACTGGTTAGTACGGGTTGCTGAAGGCAGGCAGCATTGAAGTACAGGACAGAAAAACGAATGGATTTTGCTGCACTGTCTCTGCTGCCCACCATCTAGGCCTGAAACCTATACCAACCTGTTGTGGTCATCATCACCAATCTAAGCACCATCAGGGTATTCTGGGCGACTTGATCATAGGTCTGCCCCTTTAACCAGGGCTTAAACTCTCTGGGGTTCACCGCTTGGAATGACAGAACGGCGTCTAAAGTGACAGCGATGTTGGCCGAGATGCGCTTTGCCGAGCTCCACCTGCGCGGACTCACCTGGGGCTGAGCGGCTGTGCATGAGCGAGACCCTGCGCCGACAGCCGCAGGCCGCCCCAGTGCCCCGGCTCCTCGACACCCGGCCTCGCCGCCCACCCAGCGCATTCCGGCGCACTCACGCCGAACGCTCGGCTCCGCATGGGGAACCTCCCGTCGTGGGGTTGCATCATGCCCAGGCCGCCCCCGCGGCTGGGGAACTCCAAAGGGTGCGTGACGCCCATCGTGGCCATCGTCGTGCGGATGAAAGCGCTGCCGCCGTGTGGAGGGGAGGTCGCACGGGGTGAGAGGCCGTGTGTTGACGGGCGCGGGGACGGTCGCGGTGTGGAGGACGCATGGATGCTGCAGCCACTGCTGCTCGAGTTGGCTGACAGCGGAGTGTGCTCGTTGGGGCCACCACCGTCGTCGTCGTCCTCCTCCTCCTCGTCCTCTTCCTCCTTGTCCTCCTGGATCGAGGGCAACCGCGAGGGGATGTCACCGTTGATCTCGCAGCTGGCCTGTGCCGCCGGTGAAAACAGCGGGTGCACAAATTTCAGTTACATTCCGGATACGCTTGCAGATGAGATGTTCCCGCAGATTAATATCCATATATATAAAAGAAAAAGTAGTGAATATGTGTGTCTGTTCAAAATGTTTAGCGTACTTCCCGACATGCAACAGACTGGAAATTTGCCATGTGGGTACTTTCCAGACTGTACATCATGCAAAAATTATAAAAATACTTTTTTTTTTGGGGGGGGGGGGGGGGGCTCAATAATGCATATATTTTTTGCACGGCAAGTGAGGTGACGTCAAATCTGTCACGTGACCCGCGCATGTGGAAGCGTAACGCATTGTAGTGTAGTGGTTAGCGCTACGCTGCGCTACGAACCCGGCGACCCGAGTTCGATTCCCGCTCACGGCCACCACCGGTGACGATTATTTTAACCGGTCCTGGGCCTCCCCTAGGTCGACTCAGCCTCAAACCAGTAACTGCTGTGGTGTGTGAACATTGCCACTGGGGAGACAAAGGCGGCCGGGCGTGCTGCTGTCACCCACCCCCTCGTGTGCCGTGCCAGCCTTCATAGGTGCTCGCTAACAGCACTTGCCCCTACAGTCTGTTAAAGCTATATGGGGGATCTTTGTCTTTGGAGCGGTAGTGTAGTGGTTAGCGCGCTGCGCTACGAACCCGGCGACCCGAGTTCGATTCCCGCTCACGGCCACCACCAGTGACGATTATTTGAACCGGTCCTGGGCCTCCCCTAGGTCGACTCAGCCTCAAACGAGTAACTGTTGTGGTGTGAACATCGCCACTAGGGAGACAAAGGCGGCCGGGTGTGGTGAATCAAAGTCCCGGGCGAAGCCGGGTAGTACAGCTAGTTATATTAATAAAAATATCGAATTAATAAAAACATCTGTCAACTCTTAAAACAACTGCCCACTGAAGCCTTTGGTGAATACTGTGCTCTAAGGTGCATGAACTACTGTATATCCATGCTCATTACATCAGAATACTTAAGATGTAATGACACATTCTATTTTAGTCAGCTGTAATTCCTACATGTGGACCTAAACCACATTCGTAAACCATCCCTGTGATCCAAATTTCAGATTTTCTCAAAATTACATTACATGTAATTTAATAATATTCCATCATGGGCAATGTGAATTATCGAAATAATTGAGGAACGTAGCGCTCCTATGGTGTGGTCATGTAAGAAGAGTGGCACCAAAGAGAAGAAAAATCATGCAGACGCTTGGATTCTGCAAAGATTTCCAGCATATGTTTGTGCCCTAAAGTATTTCAATTTCCAATAAAAGCAGTAGCGCTTGTACCAGACATAGGTCACAATGAGACGATGGGGCTCAGATAGCGAGTGGCTATAATGGGTCCTGGCAGCATTTGATTAGTTTGACCATCTTTCCCTAGGGTAAGTCCATAATAGCAACACAACTTTACACTCAAGTTTGGTTCAAATTGGATCAACGTTACGAAGGTTATCATGCCCCCCCCCGCCTCCCAATTACAGACAAAGACGGATAGAGCTCGTGCATTAAACAGGCATGCGTCCCAGCCACTCGGCAGTCAGCTGTGATGCTACACGTTGGCTGGAACGAGCTGCTCCAGAGCTCGAGACGCAAAGGGATGGCTTGGGGCAGCAGCAGCAGCAGCTTTCAGGAGACACCACTCCTCAGTATGACGACAGCTGTGGCTCTGTCTCTCACCATCACTCACGTCAGCCACTCGCAAGTTAATTGTTGTATGCTATTCTCAAAAAAATCCCCCCCCCCTCAATTTTTAGCTGAGAATAAAAAACATAGGTTTGGTTGTACGCAAAGAGCATTCCTCCGTAGCCGGGCAGGAGAGAAAGTGCTGTCCCCCGAGTGTGGATAAACGGTCACTTGAAGGCATCTCTGTGACATCCGTTTCCGTGGGCCGCATTCTGGCACGGAGGGTTCGGCTGCTCTGCGAGAGTTCTGATTGAATTATTTGACTCACGATGTTACACTAATAGCACAATCGGGATAAACACGCGGAATATATATTTTTTAATATTATAAACACATACTGTACATTGTCATATTTTGTCATTTCTCAAAATAAAGTTTACATATCAGTACGTCGTCAGTTTTAGTTTCTTACAACTTCCCTCTACTTCCGCCATCCTACCCAAGGAAAGCTGGGGGGTGAAATGGCCCGTGAAAAGGCATCTTCACGCAAGTCACCGTCCTTCGCATGAATGTGACATGGCGCTCACTGAGCGCACGAAGGCGCGGTAATGCACTCGGACGTGCCTGGCGGAGGAGCGATTCCCGTGATGCGACGGGACGTGACGGGACGCAATTGGGAGCACTGGAGTTGCCTGCCGGTGCCGCACTTGCCAACAAAAAACATTTAAACACCCGATAGATATCATGGGAGTTAAATTAATGATGCATTGATAAAATAATAAGAATGAAAAACCAATGAATATGCTCAAGATACATGCATCGGATTGTGCGCATGTCAGAATCAATTGTATAGGCGTGATGCCATTCACGTGGCAACGAAACGCTATTTGTTACATTCGGCTAATGGCGTAAACACAATTGTATAAACGAGACTGAAAACCATGAGAACACAAAGGAGTTTGCAAAAAAACCCCAAAACATTTTTTTATTTTACCAGGTTGGCCAGTGAGAATTGAAGTGGGAGGCTTATGATGGGTTCAGACATCTGTCATCACCAATGTTTTTCGTGGTACAGAATAAACCTCAAGATTCCGGGTTCATAGCACAGTGCGCTAATCACTGTGTCACTGTTCCCCAATTTGCCGAGCAGATAAAAATAAATTAGATATTTATAGACTGCTAAAGATAGATGTCCTTTATATTAAGTTGAAAGTAATTGACAACGCAAGCTTGCTTTGAAAGACAGACTTTGGGTTGAAAACATTTTACAGTGGGGGGGCAGGGGAAATACCATGCGAAAATAAAAAAAAAATACTCTGAAAACAACATGAAATACTATTAAAACATATTGACAAGCCAATTTAAATAAAATATTACAACATAAACCCCTTTCGTATGACTTTCTGTAGGGAAACAAATTCAACGTCTTCGGGAAGATTTTTTTTACAAAAGACTGAATAAGCACCATTATTTACGACTCCGTATGTCGTAGTGTAGCTCTCCAATACAACTATCCCAACCGCCTGTTGTTCGGCGTGACGTTGTCCGAGGATTGGCTCCGTGTCCGACAAAATCGGCGGGACGATGTTAGAACCGAGCGAAATCTGCAGCAACGGGGAGAAGAATGCTTTCGAATCAAGGAAGGAAAGGGAGCGCCTCTATTCAGTTCCGGAAGAAGCTCCCAACGCGTGGAGAGAAACGTTGGACATCACGTCAAACAACTACACGCGGTGCAACCCGACTGCACACATTGGAGGGGAGTTGTATATAGTATATGCAATTCAATGCAAAAATAATCCAATTTAAAATCCAATACGTGAGATTATATATTGTAATTTGCTATCTTAATCATGAACATCAGAATGACCCTTCGATTAAGTGTAGTTGTTTTGATTAAGTGTAATGGTTAGATGTTAAATACACATCCTATACCAACGGATGATTAATCTCTGCTACGTCAACACGAATTCATCTTCTCTCACTTCCCCAGCTCTCTCATCCCTCCTAATCTACGTCCAATCAGAGGGCGATAAATTCAGTTGCAGATGATTAATTTTGTGTAATCATTCCAATCATTAACTTAACTTAATTAGATCTATCTATTAAGCGTGTTATAATTGAGTTGCCTTTACGGCACCACAATCATTTTGCCCTGTGCTACCTCTTTATATGTCGCGAATATATTTACAGTCCTAAATTTACCCAGAAAAGCCAGACTGTGTCAGCTGGCATTTTCAAGAGACCAGTTATATATAGTATATACACACGGTCATTCATTACTTCTACTGTCATTCATACCGCAAATAAGTATTTACGTTAAATAGTCCTGAAACTGTTGGGCGTTGATGGAAACTCCCTCGTCATTCACAACGAGTTGATGCAGTTATGCTACAACATCTTAAAGCCGGTACCATAATTACTGTGGGGGATTTGTATAAAAATAAATCCCGTGCAAAGATTGATACGATAGCAAGATAAGTGTTATGCTTTTTTAAGCATCCTTGCATTGCTACGCACTTTTTTTAAACACTGGGAAGCTTTGTTCAAACATACCCTGTCGGTGCAAGTGCTTCATTGTGGATTAAAAACAGACTTTAAGCCTCCTGAATGAAACAGCCGTGAATAAGCTGTGCAAGCTGATTGTGGTGCGGAGGAAATGGTGAATTGTGGAGGATTATGGGATGGCTGCGTTGATTGCGGATTGAGTATAAAGGGGCAGGAACGTGCTCCAAAGGTTCAGCCTCTTACTGCACCCACGTCCCAAAGGCTGCTCCACGAGGCAACAAGGACTGATAGAATTCCAACTGACCCAGCGAGATACAAAGCGGAAATTTCCGCGTGGGTGCAATAGTTTGTATTTTATTAATTACTAGCTTTACTACCCTGCTTCGCCCGGGACTTGGATTCACCACGCCCGGCCGCCTTTGTCTCCCCAGTGGCGATGTTCACACACCACACCAGTTACTCGTTTGAGGCTGAGTCAACCTAGGGGAGGCCCAGGACCAGTTCAAATAATCGTCACCGTTGGTGGCCGTGAGCTCGCCGGGTTCGTAGCGCAGCGCGCTAAGCACTACACTACCGCTCCCCCCCCCCACACACACAGATACACACACAGACAGCACGCTAACCACTACACTACCGCTCCCCCCACACACACAGACACAAACACAGACAGCGCGCTAACAACTACACTACCGCTCCCCCCACACACACACAAACACAGACAGCACGCTAACCCCTACACTATCGCCCCCCCCCCACACACAAAGACAAACACACAGACAGCGCGCTAACCACTACACTACCGCTCCCCCCCCCCCACACACAGACACAAACACAGACAGCG